CTGGGCCCACATTAAACTCTGCTTTTTATCATTATTTTAGAAGGCTGATTAAGTTTTGTCTCTGTTCCTGTGACAGTTGGAATGAGAAATGCCCCCCTTCCCTCCCCTCCATAGGGGATGCTTAAAGTGTGGTCTTGTTAAAGGAAATGAGTCACTGGAGTGGAGCATTGCTCTGACAGGTTTGACAGTGCTGGGTTTTTTGGGGTTTTTTTGGAGGAATGTAGAAAAATTTGTAACTTTGGACTAGAAAAGCAGTTGGACATTGTAAGTAAAGCTTAATGGGCCACACTAGTAGAAACTTGGAAGGTAGTAGGGCTGAGAGCTATGTAGACTATGGAGCCCCACTCGGCTCAAGAAGTCTCAGAGAGGAACAACAGTAGCACCTGGGCTTGAGACCATTCCTGTGATAGTCTGTCAAATATTGTGGCTGCTTTCTACCCACGTCCTAAGAACTTCCCTGAGGCTAAATTTTGAAGCAATGAACTAATTTCTTTAGTGGAGGAGATTCCAAGACAGCCAAATATTGACTCTGTCATATGGTTATTAATTATGCAGATCTATAATGGAGAAGAGAAAGTGGAACAGAAAGAAATACAAAATATACAGATTGAAGAGGAAAACAGCATCAGGAAACGTAATGGTGCTGCCAAGGTTTATGCTGAAAGAGATAACGAGATTGAGATGAGGTCTGATCTGAGAGTGTAGGCAAACATACCACAGCCAGCTATAGAAAAATATAGCACATACTTTATGTACATATATACTATTGATAACAATAAGTGACTGTACTAGTCATGGTTCTCTACAGTAACAGAACTGACAGAATGATATATATCAAGAGAGCAGATTTATTAGAATGGCTTACTGTGGTCCGGCTAGTTCACCAATGGCTGTCTATCACCAGCAGATCCAAAAATCTAGTAGTTGTTCAGTTCATGAGGCTACATGGCCCAGCTGGTCTTCAGGATACACCAGAATCCCAAAGAAGTAGGTTCTTATGCCAGTGAAGGAATGGATTTGCAAGCAAGACTGAGGGAAAGCAGGCAGAGAAAGAACCAAGTTTCTTCTTCTGTATCGTTTATATAGGCTGCCAGCAGAAGGTGTGGCCCAGATTAAAGGTGCATCTTCTCAACTCAAAAGATCTGGGCAAAAAGTGAGTCTTCCCGCTCCAAATTGTTTAATTAAGAAAAATCCCTCACAGCCATACTCAGTCACTTAGGTTTTAGTTAATTCCAGATGTAGTCAAGTTGGCAACCAAGAATAGCCATCATGGTGACTATGTTCACCCTCAGGGCAAGACCTAACCTATATAAGCTTCCATATTGTGAAAGGAAAAGGCCTAAAGAACTTTCTGCTCCCACAAAGGATCAACAAACAAAAGCTGCTCCTAATGAGCCTCAAGGTGGCGAAGGCCTATCCAAAATTTGTAGCCAGATTTGGCAACGTTCTATACCTGGTGCTGGCTTTAGAGTCATAAAGGTTATATGAGTAAAGGGTTCCTAAAACCTTCCTCCATAGTTTCAGAGAGCGGTTGAGACCAGACAACACGTGGCAGGGGTGCCCTGCATGAAGGCCTTGAGAGGACATTGTGTGAAGGTGTGAAGGGAAGCCTGGGTGGAGTTGAAGACCCCATGATGTTGGAGATGCCAGGGTTGTGAGACATCTGCCAAGGAGCTCTGCACACAGAGAGTGGAACCACCCCAAGAGAGAGAAGGATGTTTCACACCAGCCATGAAGCTACAAGATGTGGAGTTGGCCCCCTTGGTTTTGGTCTTGCTTTGGTACAATATTTCCTCACTATGCCCCCATTCCTCTCTGTTGAAATGGTAATGTGTATTCTGTCCCATTATACATTGGAAGTATATAATTTGTTGGGTTTTTTTTATTTACAGGGAGCAGATTACAATTGAGAGACAGTTTAGATTTTCAAAAGAGACTTTGTGCTTTCAAACAGTGTTGAGACTGAAAGACTATGGGGAACTTTCAGAGTTGGTTTAAACGCACTTTGCACTATGCTGTGGCCACAAGCCTGTGGGGGAGGGGAGTGGAGTATGGTGGTTTGAACAAGAAACATCCTCCATCATCTTGGGTATTTGAATTATTGGTCCCCACTTTGTGGCGCTATTTAGGAAGACTTAGAAACTGTGCTCTTGGAAGAAGTGAGTTACTGGAAGCAGGCTTTAAAGCCTTGCAACATCTCCCAGGTGCCTCCCTGGTTTGTGCTGTGGTTCAGGATGGGAGCCCTAAGCTTCTGCTCCAGCCTTGCCTTCATACTGGCACACTTCCCCGCTGAGATGATGATGAACTCCACCCCGCTGGAGTCGTAAGCCCAAACCAACCCTTCCTCCTATAAGTTGGCTTGGTCATGGTGTTTTATCACAGCCATAGAAGAGTAACTAATACATACCATGGCCAAAAGCAACCCGGGGGGGGGGGGGGAGGGAAAGGTTGATTCTTCTTACAGGTTACAGTCCATCACCAACTGAAGCTTAAGCAGAAACTGAGACAAATACCATGAGGAATGCTGCTTACTGGCTTGCTCAGTTAGCCACATTACATAGACGAAGATACCCTGTCTAAGGTGTACTGCCCACAGTGGGCTGGGCTTTCCTACACTAATTCACCATTAAGAAAATGCCCCCATAGACACACCCATGGACAATCTGATTGAGACAATCCTCCAGTTGGGACTCTTTCAGATAACTCTGGGCTATATCAAGTTGGCAGCAAAAGCTAACTAGGGGAAGGCCATTCCCATTTAAAAAAAAAAAAATGTTTTCTGTGAACAGTGCATTATCACAGTGTGCTGACAGTACTTACCCATCTTGTGTTTACCACATTTCTTCATTGCACCAAAAAACCGCATCAAGCTATGGACCTAGACCATTTATGTTCATGTGAATACACTGTGATATTCACACGATGACAAAATTGCCCAACAAAGCATTTCTCAAAAGGAGCCCCCACCATTTAGTGCCCAATGACGGAATATACATTTAGTTTTCATGATATGTTCATTCCCACTTTACAGAAAAGTAAATGGAAGTTTAGAAAGCTTTGGTCTATATAACCAGACCAAAGAAGAATTTGAACTTCTGCTTACCTGATGTTTCATGTTCCCATGTTCTATTTATCATACTCTGGGAGTGAGTTTGGGGTTGGGGAAGGTGTATGTGCATGAATGTACATGGAGGGTGAGAATGCACATGTGTACTCATGCATGTCAAAGCCAGGCATCAATGTTGGGTATCTTCCTCAATCACTCTCTACATTATATTCAGTGAGACAGGTCTCACTAAAGCAGGAACTCACCACTTAAACGAGGCTGACTGGAAGAGCGGGTTCCAAGGACCCTCCTGTCTCTATAGTACTCAGTTCTTATGTAAGTGCTAGGGCATAGAATTTGGATCCTCATGCTTAGGTAGAAAACCCTTTAGCAACTGGGCCATCTCCCCAGCACTGGGAGAGAGGCCTTTTTTTTAAGATGATCAGTCATAAGGAAAAATTGCAAAGGAAAACTGCAACAATAAACGATTTACTCGGTTATTAAGGTACCTCTCAGTTTAAAAGTTGAGTTACTTTGATATTCTGTTCCCATTGGACAGATCAATAACCTGTACCCTGAATCCCAAATGTCACCAACAGCCCAGTTAAATCCTTCCATTGAGCAGCTTTGCTTGCCATGTCTTACTGGAAGAAGTCTCATCTTTCTCAGAATTAGAGGAGAAGAAGCAAACTGGAATGTCCACCCTTTGATGGTACAGATCAAGCCAAAAAGAACAACAGAACTTTTCAGAGAAGCTCCAATTCCCAGAACCAGGGAGGAAAAAGTGAAGAAGGAGATCTAAAATCATCTATTTTGCCTCCCATGCTTTTATCCTGTGTGCTAGCACATTCTTGTTGCCAGGAACAAGAGTGAGCAGGAGAATGAGAGCAGAGGAGAAAGGACTCACAGGCTTTGCAATCCCAAAAACACAGCCCAAGTGTGTCTGTGAACTAGACAGTGTCGTTAGAACATTAGTTAATGGTCATCCCTGAAAACATACATACAAATAACACTATACACACCAGGTAAGTTATACTTAGCAACAAATATGTATATACATACACCGTATATGCATGTAATAACAATTTTTCAAAGGCTGTGAATTTGTAAGAGAAAGAACAGGTGAATGGGGGGGGGCATTTTGAGGAAGGAAAGGGAGAAAGAAATGTGATTATAATCCCCCCCAAAAAAAAATCAAAGAAAAAAAAGACATTTTGGCCCTTTGCTATTAGTCCTACTTTCTCTATATAGGTGTCTGTGTAAGACACAGTCTTACTCTGCCATCCTTAAAGCACATTTTTTATTTCTCAAGGGCTCTCATTGGCTCAACTCAGAGGATGGCTAGCCCTGAACCAGGCACTGTAAGCAAACAAAGCTCATTAACCAAACTCTGGTGAAAAGCTAGATTTAAGCAGTGAAATCAGCCCCACCCAGGGTAGTAACTGAGTCAGGGGTGGAAATCACAAAAGGGATTCTCAAAAACACAGAGTCAGACATGGCGGCATAAGCCTGCAGTCAGGAAGCTGAGGCAGGAGGTATGCTGGTTAGATTTTGTCAACTTGACACAAGCTAAAGTCACTTGGGAAGAAGGAACTTCAGTTGGAGAAACTGACTCCATGAGATTTGTCTGTGGGGTATTTTCTTGATTACCAATTATGTGGAAGATCGAAGCTCACTGTAGGACATGCCACTCTCGTGTGGTGCCACCATGGACAAAATGTCCCTAGTCGCATAAGAAAGCAAGCTGAGCAAGCAAGCCGTGGGAACAAGCCAGTAGACAGTGTTTCTTCATGGCCTCTGTTTCAGTTCCTGCCTTGAGCTCCTGCCCTGACTTCCCTGATTAATAGATCATGATGAGGAAGTGTAAGCCAAATAAACCCTTTCCTCCCTGAGTAGCCTTTGGTCATGGTGTTCACCACAGCAAACTAGGACAAGGGTATTGTGCTGTGGGATGGTCTGTATGTCAAATGTGTTGCTGATTGGTCAATAAATAAATCACTGATTGGCCATTGGCTAGGCAGGAAGTATAGGCGGGACAAGGAGGAGAATAGAGCTGGGAAGTGGAAGGCTGAGAGAGGGACACTGCGAGCCGCCATCAGGACAAGGAAGATGTAAAGTACCGGTAAGCCACAAGCCACGTGGCAAGGTATAGATTAATAGAAATGGATTAATTTAAGCTGTAAGAACAGTTAGCAAGAAGCCTGCCACGGCCATACAGTTTGAAACCAATATAAGTCTCTGTGTTTATTTGATCGGGTTTAAGCGGCTTGGGACTGGCGGGTGTCAGAGATTTGTCCTGACTGTGGGCCAGGCAGGAAAACTCTAGCAACAGTATTGCCACGAGTTTAAAAAAAAAAAAAAAAACGAGGATGTAGTTACTGGACAAAGGCAAGAAGGTAGATAAACTACAATTGGGTGGTATAAGCAGAGAGACAAGCACTCAAAAACACATATTTCCAACATGGAAAAGGCCTCCATCTAGGCTAGAAATCTGCAGGAGTAATAGGGATTTTTTTTTCTCTCTTTCTCTGTTTCTAGGCAGTAGCTCAAGAGGCAAACTCAGGCTGGCAATTAGCTGTCAGCTGATCACCAATTCAAATGTCCTGGAGTGGGCCGGGCTGATGATCTGCACTTGCAGTAATCATTTGGCTGGGTGAATCAAATTATACTTTCCAATGCCACTTCAAATCAGGATTGCTCTGTCTGCATTCATTTTTGGCAGTAAGTATTACCATGCAACTTATTTTCTTTGATATCGACTCTACGTGGGCAAGGGAGGAATTTAGGTTTCTTTTTACGGTCTGCTCTACAGGAAAGACCAAAAAGTGTTAGAGATTTGTAAGGAGACTAATTAGGATCTATTCCATTTTAATGGCTAGGCTTTCACACTGAAATGGATAGGGAAATGTGTTCTGCCCTTGCAAGGTAGAGATTTTTCTTCCCAGTAGCTATCTGATTTGGGAACCTCATTCTTTGATAATGCCATGTGCAGTGATCAATCAGATGTAATGATCAAAAGGAAGTTGGCCTCAATCAATCCCGATAAACAAATAACTGCTATAGTAGCAAACCTAATGTGTTCTTCACTTCGAATTCTGTTGCCAATAATTGGCCTCATTAACGTCTGTGAAGTTAGCTATTCACTACACTTGGGCAAGCTGTACATTAGATGTGTTCAGTGGTTTGCAAACCTTTGGGAATAATAGACCCCTGAATCAGCATCTTGCTAGTTCCATGGAAGGGAAGAAGGGAAGAAGTGAGGAGGCTGAAGGGACACAGGAGTGAAAGGGGATCAGGATATTGCCATAACCCATCACTTTCCCGTAAATTAAAATTTTCTTTCTCAAACTAAATACGAGGGTTAGCTTTGCATCTTTATTTTTTTTCAGATTTGGTTTTGACAGAAAATGAACTTGATTTCTTTGTGCCATCTAGCTTTCAAATTACCCTGCCCACATCTGTCAGATGCCTTCATGGTTCAATTATAAAAAACTGTATCCAGGCTGGATCATGAGTCTGCTGTTTGCCACAACCACAGACGCCCTTGGGTTGAACATCAGGCTCCCTGCAATCTTCCCAAAGAAGGAAATATACTTCCAGCTGTTACACCAGACTCATCCTTCGTGGAGAGAGGGGGAGCACAGCAAGTGAGCCCTTTGTAGAGTGCGTAAAATATGCAGATGGGGAGACAGGAGGCAGCAGGAAGAGTGGAAATAGATTTACCAAAATCATGTACACTCCTGTAGAAACAGCCAGGGTGGATTGACTGTGTGGAGTATGTACTTTGCCCAGAGATAACGAATATTTTTGTCCTGAATTACCCTATGTATCAGTGCCATGCATGTTTCTCAACAATGCTCATTTTCTAATTCATATTCTGCCATCAGTGTCTTTGAATTACACAGGGAACATATCTTTTTTTCTCCAGTCTAGTTTGTCTTTCTTAGGTGCTGTCCAGGGAAATTTCAATACCATGTTGTTTTGTCAACATTTTAGGTATTTTAGAAAGACAAAGGATCTCATTAGATGAGTGATTTTCTAGCCAAATGAGAACCAACCCAGGTACCAGTTGTTCCAATTTCCTCTGGGATTTCTTGCCTGCCACCTAAGTTTAGAGCTTAGAGGCCAGCAAGATTCTGACTTTGCAGAACCCAACACTACAATGACCTCCTAATTGGTTTTCCTGTTTGGATTCTTCTTCTCACACCTGTTCATTTCCACACAGCAATGTTAGTAAGAAGTATGAAGTGCTCCTTGTCAATGGCTTCCTTCCAGCCCTCCAGTGATGACACTGCCCTAAGAGGGTTCCTGACTGCCATGGAATTCCGCCTTAGCTCATCTTGGTTCCCACCTGATCTGTCATTCCACTCCAATCCCCTGACAGCCTTGTTCCTCATGGGATGCTCTTTTCCCAGCTTCTTCCTTCTTGGCTTCTGGTATCACGGTTCTTGGTCAACGTCATCTACAAGTAAACCCATCTTACTTAGTACCCCTTCCCCATTACTTTTCTTCCCTTTGTTTTTGAGATTGTAATATAATTACATCATTTCTCCCTTCCCTTTCCTCCCTTTGATCCCTCCCATATACCCCTCCTTGTTCTCTTTCAAATTCATGGCCTCCTTTCTTATTGATGGTTGTTACATGCATATATGTATATGCATATATATTCCTAAATATAAACTGCTCAGTCTGTATGTTACTTGTATGTTTTCAGGGCTGACCATTTGGCATTGGATAACCAATAAGCATGCTGTTCCCACTGGAAGACTATTTTTCCTATTCTAATATCCCTTAGTTGCCTGTAGTTCTTTTATATAGCAATGAGGCCCCATGGGCTTCCCCTGTCCACTTTGGAGTGTCTGTTGGTGTCATCCTTGTTTAGGTCATACTTCGGCAGTCATATTGGTGAGACTTCACAGGTGTAGCTTCTGACATTACTAGGCAGAAGAGCCTTGCAGCAAACTCCCTGATCCTCTGGGTCTCACAATCTTCTCCCCGACTCCTCCATAACGTTCCATAAGCTTTAGATGCAGGAGTAGATGTAGCCACTGGGACTGGGATCCACAACTCTGTATTTTGATTGGTTGTGGTTTTCTGTAACAGCTATATAAGCTTCCAAAGGAGGGAAGCAACCAACAGTCCCACCCAGCAATGACACCCATGAACCACAACAACAACCAGCATAGCATAATAACCCTAAGGGTACAAGAGTGGCATGCATACCTTGGCAGTAGCCATCAGTTTTCTGCGACTTAATACCAGTTCACCAAGAGGGAAAGCATGCCTGCTACTGGAAATATGGCCTAGGGCTACTGAAATAGTATATCTTGGAGAAGAGACAAACATCACTTCACTGAACCTATACCTGACTGCACTCTAAATAATTTGCCCTTATACCCACATATCAGTATTGTTCTCACCCCTCATCAAGGAGACTTCTCTTCGCAAGACAGAGAACATTATAGAAACCCCATTACTTTTTCTCGGATCACAGTGATTACTTTCTTCATAAAATATGCCATCATTTTAAATCACACGGGTTGTTTTCTTACTTGTGTCTTTCCCACTAGAAGGAAATTTTGAAGTGGGTATAAACTTCCTATGTCTTACTCCCTGCTCCATCCTCACATTCCAAAAATATATCCTGGTATGTTCTAAGCCAATGGGGAAAAATGTTTTGAGGTACTAAATAGTATAAAACATACCACCAGTTCATGTTTCACCAGTTATTTTCGAAATATACAAACCTAATGTTGAATACCAGTGTTCTACTGTTAAATCTCTTGTCTCTTCCTAATATGACAATCTACATAAGAATCGTTTTTCAAACTAAGACACTGTCTTTGGAAATTGAAGAAGAAAAAGGGAAAGGGGGGGAAGAAATGGGGTGGGGGACAAGCTGAAGCACACCAGAAAACTCTAGGCTGCTTTCTTTTTCATTATAAGTCAGACAAGGTTCATGAGAGTAAGCATCAGCACTCGGCACTTCAGGAGTTGAAAATTAGACCAAATGAATTGGAGGACAACTGCGTCTCATGTTAATGTTTTCCTCTTCGAATGAAGAAAATGAGATGATGTGAGCCATGACTCCATTTGAAAATGAAATTTCGTATTTCTATTTGCTTCTACATTAAAGCAGACTTTTTTTTTTCATTTTAGACTCTTCGTTGTTGGTAAATGTTTCAATATTTTACATTTATTAGGATCAGGCCCATTTACTATTGTGCAAGTCAGACAAGCACAGATAGAGAGTCCCTCTAAAGCATCATTTCTAAATTACACAGTAAACAAATGAGACTAAGCTAGAAACCTCACAACCCTTCCACTAATGTGTTAAAAAACAAAACAAAACAATAAAGCACTGGCCAAAGTGTCCTACTTTTAAGAGGTAAATTTTCAAATAGTCCACTGCATTTTTACTGGTTCAAGGGAACAGCTTATCCAGGAATACCAGAACATCCAGGTAGATACCCTACCTGTCTCATAACATACAAAAATGTTCAAAAATAAGCCTATAATCAGATTTTTTTGCCTATCTTTTGCAAATAGTAACACATAAGAAACTTGATTTTGCTCGGAAATATACGTTGATTTCTGATTAGCTGATTATAGAAGTCAGAAGAAATGCCAAAATGAAGAGATGACTCACCAGGGGATGACAGCGAGCAAGTGTCTTGAAATTTATAATTGTCCTTGGATCTACTTAATTTAGCTTAAAGTCACGAGGCATCATTGAGACAAATGGCTGCACAGAGCAGGTACCAGACATGACGAGAGGCTGCCTGTGATCATTTTTTTTTTTTTTTTTGTTGCACTATTTCCACCCGAGGACTTTTTCAGCCAACACTTTTCCTATAATGGCTATTAAATTTGATAGGATTTTTCCCACCATTAGCTGTAATGGCATTTACATGTTAAATGCTCGCAACAAACGAAACCCACGATTCCATTGTTTCACAGGGTGAAAGCCATGATTACTGCTCTTCGAGGTGGAGAACACATCTAAAAAGCATCGTCTAATTCCTTCCCCTTGCATGGTACCTATGTGAGCTCTGTGGGGAAAAGCCTGTTTGCTTTGCAGCTCTTCTATTTTTGAAACAAGATAGATTCTTGCACATGCAAGAAAACTGAAGATTTCACCATCAGCCAAGCAGAAGACACCTCAAATGTTATTTTTGTCTAGGGGACTGACTTGTTTACGATTAGATAAAATTCTCCCTCAAGTACATTTGACTGAGAAGTTGTCCTTTCACAGAGCTTCAAGCAAACAGTTCACTGGCCACTTATGGCTATGTGTTTGTTTGTCTGTTTGTTTTTTTAATGAAAAAGAATGGAACAACACTCTCCAGGATTTGTGCCTGAAGCTCTCCTCCATCACGGAAACAGCAGGGATGGCAGACATTTAGGATTTCTCAGCCAATTTTCTTCTCCAAGAAAACTCAGCAACTTACCCTAAACATTTTAGATCTTACTGTTCCAGATTATTATTCTGGGTTACTATTTGTCAGGAGATATTCAGGGTCATTGGGATCTAGTAAAATAAGGTCTGAGAAGCTGTATCAATGGTTCTATAAAACTATTAAAATACACAGCTGTGTGATCCGTCTAGAACTTTTTGACTTCGTTTCCCGTTTCTCTGCCACCAATAACTTTCCACGGCACTGTCACCCCCACCCAGAGTAGCAAACAAGCTGCGGGATCTTCACATTCTGTGGACCAAATGTCTTCACAAGAACTCAGCTGTTCCAAGGATGCTTCGGAAAGGACGGGGTTCCTGTGGTTACGAAACCAGTGTTCCAGCTTCGGAACTTTTCCTTTCCTTTGTGCTTTAACTGTTTGCTGTGGGCCTTCGGCGTGCTTATTTTGTTTGGGTTTTTATTTTGTGGTGCTGTAGATCGAGCCTAAGCCCTCACACTTCCCGAGCAAACACTCTGTCAATAAGCTAAAAGATACACGCTCGGGCCCAGAATTTTCGTCTTAGTTTGATCTTTCGAGCTAATGCACTGGTATATATTTGAACCATTTTTTGTTTCTCTTCTATATATTGTTGATACCTAAGTTATCTGACCAATAAGGGGTCCCATATAAGAACCTGGATTGATTTTAAATTGTATGTTATGTGCTGTTTTTAAAAAGGACATCCTCGTAAATTGCTCGAGGCTCCATTCCAAGTAGGTTTCGAACTGTGTTGGTTTGGATGATAATGGTCCCCATAGGTTCATATGTTTGAATCTTGGTCCCCAGTTGGTGGAACTGTTTGGGAGGGAATGGGTGACCGTGTCGGAGGAGACGTGCCTTGGGCACAAGCTCTGAAGCCTCAAAAGCCCCCTGCCATTCCTAATGCACCCTATGCCTCCTGCTTGCCATTTAAGATATGAGTTCTCAGCTGTTCAACTCAATTAAACATCTTACTGTATAAGCTGTCTTGACTTGGTATTTTCTTCACCGCATGGAAAAGTAACTGATACAGAAACTGGTACCAGGAGTGGGGTGTTGCTGTGACAGCTCTGACCACGCCCCCCCTTTTTTATTTAGGAATGTAGAAGGCTTTGGAATTTGGGATTGGAAAAGTGGTTGACTGCTGCAAGTGGAGCTCAATGGGCCTGTTATGCGCAGATCACGGGGACCCCCAAAAGACCACCACAGAGACTGAATCCCGCATGTAAAAGCAAAGAGCCTTTATTTTAAGCTCCAGAGCTTGGTCCCTCTGTCTGTTCGACACAGAGGTGAGAGCAGAGAGCCCTGAGCTCAGGTGGGGCAGAGTTTTTATCATGGCAGAGGTTGAGGTGAGGAGATTTTCAGGGTCCAGGACTCTGATTGGCTGACAATTGTCTAGGGGTATCTGTAAAACAAAAGCAGGTGTGTGCTAGACTCAGGGACATTTGACCACCTTATCTAATGGTTGGAATGTTTGGGACGTCAGGTGCTTCCTCACCCCAGGGTGGATCCCTGGGTGGTGTCAGCTTAAGGCTTTTCCTGGATCTGGGTGCTGCCTGCCAGTAAGCCTGTCACAGAAGCTGTGTCTGGGCCTCTAAGCCTGTCATGGCTGCTGTGTGGTCAAGGTATTTTGGGGCCCCTTCACAGGCCACCCAGTTAAGAGCTTGGAAGACGGTAGTGCTGATAGCTGTTTGGACTGTGGAGGCCCAGCTCAAGAAGATTCAGACAGCAACAATATTAGCAACTGGTCTAGAGACCATTCCTCTGCATATTCTGGCAAATAATGTGGCTGCCGTCCAGCCTGTCCTAAGTACTCGCCCGCGGCTAAATTTAGAAGTCCTGGACTAATTTCTGTAGTGGAGATTGCAAGCCTAGTATTGATTCTGTTATGTAGTTATTAGTAATCTCTTTGATGTGGGTAGACAATGTAAAAGAGCAAGTGGAGCTGAAATACCAAATGGACAGTTTGGAGATGAACAGGACACTGGCAAGTTTACTGCCACAGCTAAAGCTTGTTAACAGTGAAGAGATTAACTCCCTTAGTGAGAGCCAGATCTGCATTGGAAAAAAGGGAAAGGTGCCCTCAGCGCAACACCCAACCCAACTAAGCTTCCAAATTGTAAAAAAAAAAAAAAAAAATATATGGTTTAAGGAATTCTCTGCTCCTGAAAAGGAACACCTAACAAAAGCCCCCACGAATGTGGTTCAAAGGGGCCAGGCTCCATCCTAGGAGGTAGCCAGACTTGTCAGTCTCATCCCTGTGGTACTGGATTGAAAGTCATGACAGATTAAATAAGTAAAGGGATTATGAGATCTTCCAGGTCACAGAGAGTCACTGAGCCAGGAAATGTGTGTGGCAGGGATCTCCCTTCATGGAGGCCCTGAAAGGCCATTGCATGAAGGTGTGAAAGTCAAATCTGGATGGAGTTGGAGATCCCAAGATTTTGGAGCTGCCAGAACTGGGAGATATCTGCCAGGGAGAGCTGCAGACAAGGAGTGGAACCATCCTGAGAGAGAGAAGCATGCTGCAGGCAATAAAGCTGGACGCCAAAGCCCTCAGACACCGGAAACGGAGCTACAGGATCGGGAGTGTGCCCTGCTGGGTTTGATCTTGCTGGATCAGTATTGTTTCACTGGCGTCCCCCGCAACCCCGCCCAGATCGTCCCTTTTGGAATGGTAATGTGTATTCTGTACCATTGTATGTTGGAAGCTTGTGACCTGCCTTATGATTTTACAGGGGGTGGCAATTAAGAGATTGCCTTGAGTCTTAGAAGAGACTTCAGATTTGGGGGGCTTTTGAATAGCGTTGAAACTAAAAGACTATGAGGGCTTCTGAAGTTGGATTAAATGAATTATAATGTGGCCATGAGCATCTGGGGGTCCGGGAGTGGAATGGAGTGGTTTAGCTGTGGCTGGCCCCATAGGCTCATCTGTTTGAATACTCGGTCTCCAGTTGATGGAACTCTTTGGGAAGGATTAAGTAGTCTTTTTTTGTGGGAGGGGGTGTGTCACTGGGGAGCAGGCTTTGCGTTTTCGTAAGACTCACACCATTCTCTGCCTCCAGATTGTGGTTTGAGATGTGAGCTTACAACTCCTGACACAGTTCCTTTGTTTCACCCTCATCCAACCATCTGGAAAGTTAACCCCAGTTTAACACTTTTCTTTCACAAGTTGCCTTGGGCATGGTGCTTTATCACAGTAATAGAAAAGTAACTAAGACACTAAAAGTCATTTTTCCATCTCTTTCTTCTATACTTCTTCCCATTCCCATCCTCTCCCACTCCATCTCATCTCTGTACTCCCTCCCAAACGAAGCAGAATCAGGGAGGTTGTTCAGTGAGGGAACCCATCCGAAGATTAAATTAATTCAGTGGTTCTTCATTTGCTCACTTAGACACTTGTTTTGTTTATCTTTTATAGCAAGGATCACCAGAAATTTGTGGCAAACCACTAGTGTTTACCCAGAATTATCCAGACTTTGAGAAAATAAACCACTCCCCACAGATAGGGCCTGTTTTAGAGCTATTAGAGAAATAGATGTCCTGTTGGGGGACGCGTTTCTGTTAATTGATAAGCTTTAGTTTTTTAAACATTAGTATTCACTCTGTGCCAGTGCAAACACAAATGTATGCTACAGTGGATTTGTCAGCAGTTCAAAATCCATGAGAATGCCATGGATTATGACTGCTACACACCTCACTGTGCCAAGCTGCAGCAAATTCCTTTGCTTCTCCATGACTCAGTTTCCAAATCTTTGGAACCAGAGATGGTACTTACATCCCTGTGACATTCAGGAGTCTTAGTCTAAAGAAATGAGTCAGATGCCTGAGATGATAATTCATTTTATTCCAACAACACATTCGCAGTCCCAAGATTTTTTTTTTTCCTTTTGTTTAAGCTTTCTAAATAGTCTCAAAGTGTTTCCTTCCAAAACACTTCAGGAAGCTTACCACAAATCAGTTTCAACAAGGTCAGTGCAACCTATGCATCCTGTTCATAAGAAGTTTTCTTTTCTTGCACGGTATGAATACTCAGTCCAAAATCACTTCAACCACTGTGTTTCTGAACAATTTCTGAAGTAGAATAACTAAACCTTTTGTTGCTGTGATGAGAAGCTTGGAGAGACTCGATAGTTTGTCTGAAATAATACTGATCCTATTGAAAACAGAAACTACGTCCCAACTACTTTCATTTTATCTGATGAACACAGAGGAAAAGTCTCAGGTCCAAGGAAGAAAAGGTCAACCACTAGAATTGTGAGAGGACTGTCTGCTACAAATTTTAAAGACACAGTTTAAGTTGCTGTTTGTCCACAAATCAGAGATGTCAAATCTATTTGAGACATTTAAGTATATCACCATCTTCCAAATGATGAATGGTTATCTGCATGGGTTGCTTAGAGTATTTTTGTATATTAATGCCATAAGTTACACGGAGGACATACAGAATTGCATGCTTACTAACTAACCATGACACAGAAAGCTATTGATTTTGGAAAACACTGATTGAATTGTTGCTAAGCCCCCCAAGAGCTCATGCTGATAACAACACTGGTTTCTAGGCATCAAATCCCCAGATACTGGTTCATTTTATTCAGGGCATCGCACACTGTGTTCAAATCACTGCGTAGGTCCTGCACCACATTCTCAATACTTCTGGTGTCTTTCAGGATTTCAATGCTCTGTGTGTAGGGGTTGAAGTATACTGAGAAGGGACGGGTAATTGACTTTGCAAAGTCCCTGTAGAATAAATGAAAATAGAAAGATACACCGTCAGCCACCACTGGTACAAGAAACAGATAGGAATAAACAGCCAGAGAAATTTAAAAGTTACTTTCTAGGCCGGGCGGTGGTGGTGCACGCCTTTAATCCCAGCACTCGGGAGGCAGAGGCAGGCGGATCTCTGTGAGTTCGAGGCCAGCCTGGTCTCCAAAGCGAGTACCAGGAAAGGCGCAAAGCTACACAGAGAAACCCTGTCTCGAAAAACCAAAAAAAAAAAAAGTTACTTTCTATAGAAGAAAGAAGAGCAAGTTTACCTCATCTTTTCTTTGGCTTCTTCAAAACTTTCTGAAACAAAATAGACATCCTGGAAGGTGGTGATTAGGCATTCCTGCAAGCAGGTTGTCTTTGGGTCAAAGGCTTTTATGCACGCCTTGTCGGAAAGAGCATGCTGCAAAACATACCACAGAATCCAGTCAACTCCATTCCAAAATGCTACGGCATCACACTTACTAGCCCAGTAATCCACAGAACTGCTCAGTTAGTAGTCTACCATAGAGCATAGAACCCTCCCAGTGCAGGGTAAATTGGGTATTGGGGAAGGGTTGTTTTGTTTTACTTTTTTTAGTCTCTTGGAAGTTGAGGGAGAAAACACGCTCATGTTATTATTTTATATAAAATCAGGCAAATTCATGCTGAAGGACAGTTCAGAGCTATCCCCTGACACAAATGGATTTTTAAATCTACACCATGAATAGAAGCAGGTACAGCAGAAATATGCTCCTAAATTTGTTGCTATAAGCAATGTACTGAAATTTCACTTAAATGGCAGAAGTAATAATTACCTGCGCAGAGAGGTAATTGAGACTCTCACTGAACTATTTGTGGACTCGTTGGGAGACATTGTGAGGCCAGGTACTGTGTATCAACAGAGATTGGAGTGGGCTTATACATTGGAGGGTGCTTACAAAGTAATCATTTACCTTCCACAAAGTACAGCAGAGTGATATACAGCAAATAAATATTGCCAGTTGGGGGGCAAAGAACCAATATTAATAGTTATACTTAAGCCCAAAGCAGGCATTAAAAAAAAAGGAAAGTCAGTATAATTACTCTCTGAGCCATCATTGGCTGCATTCAGCTCACCACATGCCTGGCACTAAGAACATTGAGGAATCCTGAATGACTATATCTTCAAGATAAATCCAGTGACACTAAAAGTTAGTGGTCAGTCCTTACCCAC